CATTCTGATAAAATATTTTAAAAGATTATTTTCAAAAATCTCTTAGTTAAAATTATTAGCTTTTGTTTTAGTACTAATAGTAGTGTTCAATTTATGTAATGTTTTTGAGAGTGAATTTGTTGAGGAAATGCTTAAATAATTCATTCGATTCTTCAGTATACTTTTTTTTCCAATATGTTCTGTGATACTGTAGTGAATTAAATTCAAGGTTGATTCCTTTTTAAACACTTTGATAGAAAAAATTAATACACTATTAGGCGATATCAACAACAACATGTCATTATGTCATTTCGTTATCTTTAACTGGTTTGTTCATTAATCAAATGAGTTTTTTGAAAGCAGCTATTTTGAAAATGAATGTCGATCTTGTTGTGTCGTTTTTTTCCATTAAAAAAAGTCGTATTCCGAGTAAACAACTAATAGTCGGAATTATTTCCTTCTTCATTTCTTAGCTAATCTTCTATCAAAGTCATCTCTCTAATTTTTTCTAATTTATAGCTCAGTAATAAAGTAAACTGCATGGTACATTGTATTAATTTTAAATTGAAAATTTTTATAAATACAATTTTATTTATGATAGATAAATATTAAGTATAGTCTTGAAATGAATTTGATCTTTCTGATAACAGTTCATCATGGTTGGCTATTATTGTTATGGTGGAAGATTATTATTTTTGCTCACATTGCTTTAACTGTATTATCTTAAATAATTTTTATTCAATTACCTATTTGCTTGAAGAGTTTATGATTCTAACTCATAGTTAATCCATTCATATCAACTGAAAAGAGTTAGTAAACGGGAATTATGCTAAAAGTAGTGATAAAGCTTTTTTTTCGTGATTTCGATAAATCAAAAAATAATACATATTTTTTTGCGTTAATTTTTTAAAAGTATGGCATCAGAATTTTGTTATTGAAAACGAAAATAGAGGAAATGAATAGCTTAATGTAACGAATCGAATCTTTTGGGAAAATCTGATTTGAGATTTTTCAACTTGAAAAAAAAATCTCCTCACCTTGGGATTTCCCAAAGTAAAATTGAAGCTTGCCCTGCAAAGGAGCAATTCACGTCATTACTATAATTTTCTCTCTCTCTCTCTTTTTTTATCATATGAATTTTTTTTTTTGGTATGAGTAAACTTTTAAATAATAGGAAATAGTTATTCTTAAACAGTTCTTTGATTTCCAGAAATAAATTACATTAACAAACAATAGTTTGGGAGAGGGTATGAACGATTCCTTATATCAGAATTATCATTGATATGTTATCATTGATATCTATCATTACTTTAGTCCATTGTCATTTAAGGAAACAAAATGCTCTTTCTTTTTCTAGCACTTCTCAAGAAAAACAATTAATGATTTTCAATAATTAATCATATATACAAATTGCTTGGTAAAATTGATTAATTTTATAGTGAAAACAAATACTTAATTCTGAGTGAAATAATTCGAAGTTCGGTGATGATTAATTTTTTTTTTTGAAATCAAGACAATTTTAATAGAATTAATGCAAGTTTTCATTTTTGCATTTTTTAATAGGCAAGATAAATGATAAAATAATGTACTTTAGATAAAGTGTACTTTTAAATAAATTTAAATAAATCGATTTCACTTTATATTTTATGTTACGTAAATCACTTATAAAATTAACAATATCTAATAATTATTGATTTTTTAAGGGAATTTTTTCTTTGTTTTTTACTTTTAATTTTAATTCTGGACTTGTTGCGTATTTCTGTCATTTAAAATAATGAAAAACATGATGTCCTTATTTGCGAAAAATGTTGTTAGCTTTAAATTTTCTTAATTAACTTCAAAAAAGAAAATTAGATGTCAAATGCTTCTAGCATAACATCGGTATTATTTTAAACTTACAGGTGGAAAATTTTACACATATTTCTGTTTTTCCTCTTTTTGCGACTATTGACTATTTTATGGAATGCACAGTTCATTAAAATGAATTTTAACATCATGAACTTTCTAATCTCTTGCAATGTATAATTACAATTAACTCTTACTGCTATATATTTTAAATTTTCATTGATCATTTTTCCATCTTTGCTATTAAAATTTAAGTAAAATTAAAAGTGGCGAAATTTAGAAGTAATGAACTTTTATATATTTTTCAAAATTATAATTTTTACTTTTTCGTTTATTGTGCTTTTTTAAATCAATAATGAGTGGAAAAATTTTTTTGTTTCTTGTTTTTTTTTTTTGCAAAATTCTTATAATTTTTTGCAGATGTGATACTTTTGTTTTTTTTTTCCGTCTAATCTGACCTATCATATTACCTTCCTTCATTACTACCACCATCACTACTACTATTATTATTATTACTACTATTGCTATTATCGCTATTACCCTGGGAATATATGCTTGTTAATTTGTTAATTCCTTTGAGGTTTTATTTCATTCCTTTCAAAAAAAAGAATAAAAAAAAAATTCAATATGCAATGATTACTCTACAGCCTTATATCAATATCATCTTTTCCATAGTAATCAAACAATCGAACAAGTGAAGCTTTACAAATTACATTAACTAATGTGCACTTCACTTCCACATATATTATATATGTGGTTATATTACGAACAGAATTGCCTTAGGGGATATTTATCCGATTTTACTTGGGCATTTCTTGGTATCCTTTTAAAGGTTTCTATTATCCTTATTCATTTCCCTCTTAAACTCTTGTTGCTTCTTTTTTTGAATAAAAAAAATGAATGAAATTGATTTTCCGGTTTATTTGCTATTTTTTCAATGATATTATTCTTTTTTAAATTTATAACGATCATAATTTTATTTGAATGAAGCATTTATTTGGATAAAAAATGAAATATAAAATAAATTAAAAATGATTTTACTGATATTACAAGCATTCCGTTGGAAATAATGCAAAAAAATAAATAAATACAATAATTGCCAAACTTTTCATTGTGTTAAATTAATTAAGTTGTTTTCATTTTTTTTTCTGATTTATATACATCGTATAAATGATTCAGTACTTCTGTTATTCTTTTTTTTCAAACAATTTATGCAGCATTTATAAGTTGCATTTTTTGTAGAAAAAATCCTCTAAATTCTTTTCTTCAATTATTATAATTTGCTAAATTATTCTTTTTTCCAAATATTGTAATTCGCAATTTTCTTTCTTTCTTTTTTTACCGTAAATATCACAAAACCTTTATTGTATTTTGAAATTGATTTTGGAAATATGTGAAAAGATTTTGGAGATGATAGCGGCTCTTGTACCTTAAAGTTATTGGACGAATTAAAAAAAAAAAAAACATCAATTAAATTTGTCAGGATGTGTCAAGTTTTCTCTTTTCTTTTGGCATTTATCATTTAGTTAAAAAGTTCCGAAAAAATTTCCACATAGCAAAATGATGAATGTTAGGGATTGTTTCTTTCAAATTTGAAAAGAAATTAATCCTGCTATGTACCATTTGCAACTTTTGCGATATTTTTGCTACAATTAAAAGAGGAAAAATTCTTCAAAGTTCCGAAAATTTCAAATATAATTTAGAAACGATAGCATCGAATCATTGGGAAAATTTTTAATATAAATTTCTTCTTTCTTATTCGTTGATATAAGTCGGTAGTGCACATAAAATGAATTGATAATTACTTATTAAACTAATAAACTTAATCCAAATGGTATGATGAACCCGGCTAGACTTAATTATATTGGTCAATTGGATGAATTTAATCAATCAGTTCCATTCAATTGCATAATAAAAGAAACTGATTGATTATGTCCATGCAATAGCTTTTTTTCTGTTTTAAAGATATCTGTAAATAAAATTAATGAAGCTAACTTCGGCATCCTTTTGGACTCCTTTAAATCCTTTTTCTCTGGAATTTAATCTTTTAGCTTGCATTTCATGTTTCTCTCAATCAAAACTATTATCGAAATGTTAGAAAATAATGATTTTTCTTTTTTAGCTTCTAATAATTCTCTTCTGCTAAGATATTTTTTGCATTCAGTTCTTATTACTTTCCTTATTTGGAAGCGATTTTTTCCTGATTTTTCAAAACTTCAATTTAGTCATTTAAAAACTGAACTTATATGTATGCAAAGCTATAGTACCTTCCATATAATTTTCAATCTTTTATACAATATTTTCTAAAGTATTTAACAAAATTAATGAACCGCAGCAATTATCAAAATTCTTCTGCCATTAGCAAGATTGTTTCAATCAATGTGGAATAAGAAGAAAAAAATCAAAAAGGAAAAATTTCCATCGTTTTTTATGAAGTTTTCATAAAAGAAATATTGCATAGTATGTTTAAAGTGATAATGCATTTGATTTTAATACTTAACTTCTTTTGATTTTCTAAAAATCAATTTTATTTCAGCGTTTGTTTTTTTATGAAGCAATAAAATAAATTTATGTTGAACAGAATAAGAATAACGATCAGTGCATAATGCAAATAGAATTTATCTTCAAAATAACATATAAATAATCTGGGATTTTAAAAATTCTATTAACAGAATTCAGATAGTTTTCCATGTTTTTATTTCAAATGGTTGAAATTTTCGAAAAACCCTTAAATATTTAAAGAATAGTTTCAGTTTGTTTTAAGTCTTCGTTATTATACTAAGGAAAGCTTTTAGAGATTTTTGATTCACTTTTTTTACTTTTGTTTCCATTAATTTTTTATTTCTAACTGTGCTAATGCACAAATAAGAAGGAATAAAAGAGGTTCCTATCATTATGTCTTTATAAAAGTGATGAAATTTGATATCTATTTCATTCTAAAGATGATGTTTTTGAAATTTGGTAAGAAAATCTAAATAATTTAAGAGATACCTCATTTAATGTTTCTATTGATGCATTAGTGATTTCGATTAACATGAAACAAATTTGGAATACATTATTTCAATTTTATCTTTTTTCATTGATAATTATTTTATTGTAATTATTTCCTTCATTTCTAATAATTATTTCATTTGTTCTCCTATTTTAAATATTTCAAATGTTATATATTTCAGATAATGCGTAATTCGGATTGGAATAATCATAATCAACATCATCGTCAATATCCAACAGCATCATTATCGCCATCATCAAGTGATCATGCTACATCATTATTACCAACTACAGGTCAATATAGTAAATCAGGTTGGACGTATGGTCTTAATCCATGTGGTGCGGAATGTTCCAGGAGTAGTGAAGATGCTGATCCCAATTTGCATACAGTTACAAAAATCAAAACATCACTTGCAAAATCTCAAATACCAATTAGTATCCGGCACAATGATTTAGATTATACAACTGGAAGTTCAAGTATTACATCCAGTACGACAGTTAGTGAAAATTTGAATCGAAAATTGATTGGCGTACCGTTCATCACTACTACAAGTTGGTTCTTGTAAAATTTTCAATTTTTCCATTTTAATCAAAAAAAAAAATTTGCAAAATTCGGTTGTTTGACGATCATATGGGAATGAATGGAAGTACTGCGAATGTATTCCTTGAAGCTTTTCAAGCACGCTAAGAAGTTCATTTTGCGCCTTGGTTTGATTTCTGTTAAATAGTCCCAAGCTAGTTATGCAATTATATAGAATGATTTAAATGCTACTATTGTATGCCTAAAAAATCTGCTTACCATTAGCAATCTAATAATCCTGATAATTTTAACGAATAACACTAATTCATTATATTGGATATGAGATTGATTTTGTTTAAAATAACATGTACTGTAGGTGATATAACATCAGATGGATCCAGTGTTGCAGATGTAAAGCCATCCATTGGCGCTTCTGCAAATGCTCAATACCTGTGCGCAAATCAAACACAAAAGGGTTCTGAGGTTTCATATTATTTTTATAGTTTATTTTATTAATAAAATTTGCTTATATTTATTACATAAAAATTCGTCTCAGTGAAACTTTCTTATCAATCTTAAGGAACATTCAACACATGTAGTATAAGCATCTAATTTAAATATTTGATTTACAGCTTTTCTAAACTTAGTAGAGTGGGTAATTATTTTAGTAGGCATTGTTCCACCTGCATCGACCAAATATTATCTGTGTTGGATAGGTATCAATAAAAATGGTGCCAAGGTGACACCGGATATCGGTAGTAATACACCGGATATTGATAGCGTTCATCAATTAGGTTTTATCTTGAATCCAAAAGAAATAATGAAATTTCATTAGAGATCATTAGTAGAATGCATATTTGCAAAGTTCTATATCATTATCAATTAATCGATACGTCAAATAATAGTTTGTTTTCCTCAATATTTATGATGCTACTTTTTTTTGTAGTATTATTTTATTTTAACATTGAAATTCTTCACTTCATTTCCACTTCTTAATAACCAAACAGAAGGCTTTTTCATATTCTCCTTCTTTCTCAACTATATATATTCTATTGTAGGATTCTATAAATTCTGTAAGGCGAACGGCATCGTTTACGTTTAGTCCCAAAGGATGTTTAGATAAAGTAAATCAAAGACTACAGCTGCATGATAACGAACCGAAGAGGCGATTGTAAGTTATTTACTATTAATTTTTTCGTGTTATGCAAAAAAAATTCAGCATCGAATATTCACTTAAAAGAAAGTGATCCGCTTATCATACTAAACACCGGTCGATAATTTTGAATATCATTTGGTTGCAACGTGTTTATTAATGTTAAACGTTAAAATTAACAAAATCCCATTGATAGATTTGGAAAACGAAAAATGGATGTAAGTGCAAAAAAATAAATTTTATGCGCTTTTTGTTTTAAATTTTTATGGATGAATTAAGACTAAAATATTTCAGTAGTAGATTTGCGAAAACATTGGATTTTATTAAGAGTAAGATGGACTCTTGTAGTAGTACATCAACGCTCTATCCGTCCAAAGAAGAGATTATTCAATGGCAGGATTCTTTTGAACGTTTGTTGAATCACAAATGTATGTTGATTTTAGTTTTTTTTTCTTTTTTTTTAATACGATATTGCAGATTTTACATTTGTTTTTTCAACTAAACTAATTTGCTTTGCGGAAAATTCATAATTAAATTACCAACTAATGATAATTCACTAGCTTGCAGTTGTGAACCAATTAAACAAAAAAAAACGTTTAAAAAAATATTTTCGAATGAATTATATATTCCATATTTGTATCATGAACATAAATTGGATCATTTCAAGATGGCTGTCTGTTGTTTCGAACATTTTTAAAAGGAGAATTCAGCGAGGAAAATGTTGATTTTTGGATTGAATGTGAAGAATTTCGAAAGATGAAAGAAGGAAAAAAATCGACAATTCAAAAAGCACATTCTATATATAATAAATATATTGCTGAGCAATCACCAAAAGAGGTTTGCATTATTATTTGTATGACATTATTATAAATAAACGTAGTAAAACTTTCAATGCAATTATTATTTTTCACAGTTCGAGAGATGGAGAATGGAAAGTGAAATCAATTTAAAATTTAATTGATTGGAATTTTTTATCAATGGAATTAATCATATCTTCTAAAATTAATTACTCTTTTTAATATGACAAATTCATTGCAATTATGTCTTTAATAAGAAAACCTGTTTTTAGGTTAATTTAGATAGCGATACACGCGCAGCGACAAAAGCAGCTCTGGAAAATGGTGCCAAACCAAATACATTTTCGCTAGCGCAAACTAGAATTGAGCAATTAATGGCAAAAGATAGTTATAGGCGATTTTTGAAATCAAAGCTATTCATGGATTTGTTAACGAACGATAATAGCAGTACCGCTTCAATCGCTAATAAGGCGCCACAAAAAGAAAATGAACATGAACGTCAATCAAGGTAAATTAACATTTCTTTCCTTTAATGTATGATTGTCATATGCTAAGATTTTTTTCTACTATAGAAATAATAAATTTTTCCTCTTTAAGTTTTAGTTTTTAGATTCCTTTTTCAAGAGAGTAATTTTATGTTTTAGATTTCTTATTAACAAGATAATGGAAAGTTACGATTTTTTTGTTAAAATATTTTCGTTTTTCTGTTATTTATTTAAATTACCGGAAACTCTAAAAATAGTCAATTCTGCCTGTACTGCAAGAAATTCGTAAAATTCTTAAAATCAGGAAGAGAAAACAATGATAATATACTTAGCAATTAATAATTCCATTATATTAAATTGTTATTAATCAACTGATCCTTTTTTTTCATCTGCGATATATTCTAATGTGTTTTGGTAGTATTTATTTTTGATATGTTTGTTAATATAAACTTACTTGTTTTATTCAATTTCATTACCGTAGACTATTTTGATGACAAAGTTTGGTTGTTAAACTAAGCTTTGTGTTGTTAGTGATAGAAGATTAAAGAGTTTAGTTTGGATAAAATGACAATATTTTTAGAATCGGATAATTGAAGAGGAACGATAATTGTTAGATACATTGTTTTATCTTTAAAAGAAATGAGCTTTGTCATTGTATCAGATATTAACTTATTGCTAACAAAAGTTAATTAAAAAAGAGCTTATTAATACTAACAAACATATCATGCATGAATACGAAAAGAAAAACTTCAATTTATGGTAATCTTTTTTTTTTCCTTTTTTTGAAAGCATTAATATCAATGAATTATAAAAATAAAAGAAAAAAAAAGCATTGAAAAATTAATGTGACGATCTATTCAGTGTTCGTTATGCGATTTCTATTTGTTATTATTATTATTATTTTATAAAATTTTCATCATAACGAATGGCAATATTCTATTCGTTTCTGTTTTAAATTATTATTATTATTATTAATAGTATTGATTTGCTACATTGTTATTTATATTCTGTAAATATTTCAGTGAATTTTTTTTTCTTTTTTCTCTTCTTATTCCAATATGCTTGCTTAAGTATTAAAAAGCACACTTTTTTAAATGAAAGCATTAAAAAATTTTGCTTTCAATTTCTATTTTTAATTATTATTGTGTGAAAAGTGATCGGAAAAAAAGGCATATGTAATGTTGATGTTTTCCAAGAAAGATATAAATGAAACAAATAATTAAATTTTTTCGCATGTTGTTTACGTAAGATTAAAATGTACACCATATTTTGTGCTTAAAATTGATCGATTAAGCTTTATTTGTGGAGGAAATTCAATTTATATAATAATGAAACATGTAAATATATATTTTTATATTTAAAATCAATTAATTGTACCAAATCATTCCCGAATTAATTTACAACAGCTTTTTCATCATTAAATCTTCATTCTTATAATTTACAATACTTTTATTTTTGTTAAACGCATCAACTATTTATAAGAGAAAGTGTTTCTGATAGCATCGCTTTATTTACCATTTGTTTTTTTTTCCGGTCAAAGAATTTGTTGCATTTAATGAGAATTGCTGGAAATTACTGATGATTGATTGCATGTTGAAATTTTATATCAATAAAATGTTTGGTTACATTTTTTACATTTATTAATACAGGTAATAAAAAGTACTGATTGTTTTTTTTCTTCATTAACAAATATTTTCGCATTTGTTCTTTATCTCTATTAAATTTCATAGCACGCGATAAATTATTTAGAGTTTTAAATTATGTTAATTAAAAGTGTGATTTATTCTTGCGGAAGAAAACGGATGTAGTTGGCTCGAACAATTTGCAATCATTATCATTTCTTCCTATTTCATATGAATGGTATTATCGGAAATCGGGAATGAAGTAAATGATGAATACATGGTGATAGTTCTAATTGGTGTGGAAACGTAATGAAAATTTTTATAAAAATTCAATGAAAACTATAAAATTGATTTGAATAATTTAGGTGCATATGCGATCTTTTGTATGACCAGAAATTTTCTTGATTAATTCAATGTAAATTCAAATTTCATTTATTCGTTACGTTTAACTCTTAGAAATGGTTCGGTATAATTAGCAGAAAAAATTTAGCAATTTTATAGCGATCGATCAATGATTTTGCATTGATAAATTAGTTGAGATAATCATTAGTTTACAAATAAATCAATTATCCATCATTTCATTATACAGCTTTGGATGTAAATTATCGGAAAGATCGGAATTGAGACAATCAAATAGCTAATTAAATCATTCGTTAATTAGTTGACGCCATGTTTTCTTCGTCAATATATGTTTGAGCAATGTTGTTGATTTCTTCAGGGTCTCTTTCAAATTAAGATCAAATCTAATTAGGATTGAATTTTTGTTTTAAATAATGTTAATTCATATTCAAATTCATAAATGATTGTTCATAAGAAAAATGGAAGATTGAAATAAAATATTTCAGGAAATATGAATTTGAAATATTCCATGCTGTACATATTGTATTACACTGTTACAATTTACTTATATTAATTTATCAAAAAAATAAAATAAAATAAAATTTCTCT